GTACATATCAAAATAATCTTCAAAATACTTATACAAAATTGTATGAGTCCATTATTTGCAACAATAGGTTAACATCAATTTTGCAGGTTGCAGATAGGCAAACTTATTATATCATAATATCGCATATAATAATAATAATAATAATAATAATAATAATAATAATAATAATAATACAAGGTGGTTCAAATATGACCGGGACTGATTTTTTTTTAACCATAATTCCCAAACACTTACTTGCACATTTCAGTCTTCGACGTACTCCCCTCTGGAGTCAACACATTTTTTCCAACATTCTGGAAGCATCCTGATGCCCTTTTCAAAAAAAGCTTGTGGTTGTCTGTGTATCCACTCCTGAACACTCTGGATGACATCATCCACAAACTGCATGCCTTGCAAGTCTGATTTGAGCCTTCCGAACAGGTAGAAATCACTTGGGGTCAAATCGGGACTGTACGGTGGATGTGTCAGAAGGTTCCATTTCAATTTCCGGAGGGTTTCCATTGTTTTGGCCGTATGGGGGTGTGCTTGTCTTGAAGGAAGGCTACCTGCTGTCCACGTGTCTTCCACTTGGATCAGAACTTTTCCTTCACTTCAGTTGCCAGGAAGTCTGAGTAATAAGCTGCGTTGACTGTTCCTGCCGAACGGCTCCGCGCTCTCTTGGGTTTGGGAGAACTGGTATGTCGCCACTCACGTGATGACTGCTGGGACTTGGGAATGAAGTAGTGCACTCACGTTTCATCGGTGGTCATTACAGACTTCAAAAATGCATCACCTTCACCTTCAAACTGCTGTAGGAGACGACTGGCAGCTTGCATGCAGACCATTTTGTTCACGTCCATCAAAGTGCGTGGTACCCACCGTGCATTCACCTTGCGATAGTGCAGGTGGTATTTCATGATGTCTTCTACACTACCAACACTCATGGACAGCATTGCTCCAAGTTCCTTGATAGAGATGCGCCTATTCTCACGAATAAGCGCGTCTGCACAATCAATGTTTGGCTCGGTGACGGATGTTCACGACTGACCATCGTGTGGTTCATTCTCCACGTGCTTTCTGCCCTCTCTGAAGCAGTTACACCAGTCAAACACATGGGTCCATGAGAGACACTCTTCCCCATACTGTTGTTGGAGTCTGTGGTGAATTTCAGTGGACGGGACATTTTCTCCAATGAGGAATTTGATCACAGTGCGTTGTTCCATGCTCTGCGGTACCTTCTGTTCTCTCATCATTCTAGCAACTCCCAAACAGGACTGACAGGTTCTAACCCAAACAGGAGGTAGGGTGGAGGTTGTGGCTCCAAGTTCCTTGATAGAGATGCGCTTATTCTCACGAATAAGCTCGTCTCCACGATCAATGTTTGGCGCGGTGATGGATTTTCACGACCGAGCATCATGTGGTTCATTCTCCACGCGCTTTCTGCCCTCTCTGGAGCACTTACACCAGTCAAACACATGGGTCTGTGAGAGACACTCTTCCCCATACTGTTGTTGGAGTCTGTGGTGAATTTCAGTGGATGGGACGTTTTCTCCAAGGAGGAATTTGATCACAATGCGTTGTTCCATGCTCCGCGGTACCTTCTGTTCGCTCATCACTCTAGCAACTCCCAAACAGGACTGAACAGGTTCTAACCCAAACAGGAGGGAGGGTGGAGGTTGTGGCTTCACTCTCTCAAGGTCGCACAGCTGCTGCACAGTGTGGCTTGTTTACACACAAATCTATCCCAGTCATATTTGAACCACCTTGTAATAATAATAGTAATAATAAATAAAATTAAATTAGAACATGAATGAAATAACTTACTATAAAAACATAGTCACAATTTCATATAATGTATTAAATTACCAATTAGGTGTCTTCTGGCGTCATATTCTAACCACTTCTATGTTAAATGGTCATACGAGTTAGAGAGGTCTAACAGCCTCTTCAATACATGTTTAAAATTGTACCATCAGCAGCCATCTTTGTTGTGATTATCAGTTAATGACAAACAGATCTGTGTTATTAAAATTTGATTCTAAATTTGTAGATCACATTAGTAAGATTAAATAAAATATGAGCCATAATAATTTTAGATAGGACAACTGCATATATAAATTGAAAATATATTACAAATAATTACTGAGCTAGCTCTGTTATAATTTACATACTGTGACCAGTTATGCTGATAATATTCCTTCATATGCATGTATGAACTAAGAATATATTACAAGTAATTACTGAGCTAGCTCTGTTATAATTTACATAGTATTACCAATTATGCTGCTAGAATTCCTTCATAGAGTAAAAAGAGTGATAAAATAAAAATCTCTTTACTGCTCTGTTATAATTTACATACTGTGACCAGTTATGCTGATAATATTCCTTCATATGCATGTATGAACTAAGAATATATTACAAGTAATTACTGAGCTAGCTCTGTTATAATTTACATAGTATTACCAATTATGCTGCTAGAATTCCTTCATAGAGTAAAAAGAGTGATAAAATAAAAATCTCTTTACTGCTGCTTTAAAGTTTAAGAGATCAGAAGCCAACATTTTTATTGCTTGAGGTAGATGATTAAAGGCTTTAATGCCTGCTACATACACACCTTTCCTGTATTTTGATAGGTTGACAATAGCTAAGTAAAGATTATTTAGGGATCTAGTTTTTATATTTGTGAATCTCATTTAACAGAATTAAAAAGATATTTATTATTAATTGTAAATAAAAGTAATCAGTATATGAACTGAGAATAAAACGCCATTATCTTCAGGTTCTTGAATAAATCCCTACAAGACTCACTTGGACCAGAATTTGTAATAATTCTAATAGCCCTCTTTCGCAGTATGAAAACATTGTTAGCGCAGGAAGAGCCTCCTCAAAAAATTATACCATAGCTCAAGATAGAATGAATGTGAGCAAAATAAATTAACTTTAATGTATTTGGAGGGCTAATATATTTTATATTTCTCAATGCATAACATGCACTGGAAATTTTATTGATAACATAATCAATATGCTGTTTCCATGTGAGAGTATCATCAATGATTAAGCCTAAAAATTTTGTATCCATCACACTGGTTAAATTAGTCTGATCATAAGTAATTTTTATGGTAATATTATAATGATTCATGGAATTTATTAAAATTCAAAGTGAGCAAATTAGCATTAAACCATGAATTAATATCTTTAAAAGTTTGATTAAGCTTCATATCAAAGTCTAATTTGTTTGTGCCAGGTATTATAATACTGGTGTCATCTGCAAATAATACCATGTTATTATTTTTATTAATTATTTTTGGTAAGTCCTTTATATAAAACAGAAAAAACAGTGGACCAAGGATCGAGCCTTGAGGAACACTGCATCTGATTAGTTCCCATTCACATGGAAGGATAATGCTGAAATAAATCTGAAAAGTAGTAGGGTGTCAGAAAATGACTTGATTTAACTGACTTAGAGTTCATTTGGCTGGCTTTTGTGAACATAGTAATGAAATTTTCGGTTCCATGAAAAATGGAGTTCCTTAAGCAAAGAAGTGACCACCTGTTCACCTGTACCATGAAGTGTGTTAATTTGTTAATTACACAAAATGAAAAATAAAGACAAACAAGAAATAAAATTAACAGCAGAAAAAAAAATTAATGCTAATTGGAACATGTATACTGAAAAGATGAAAAATATTGTTCTCAAAATACAGGATCCGTTAGGACTCATTTTTTTTAAATTTTGCCCTGCAATGCCATCTGTTGGCAAGTTGTGGCATTAAGATTCTTGAAGTTTCAGCTGTGGCTGTCTATAATTTCAAAGTGCAAGCATTGCTGCATCATGTGTTCTGACCTTGAATGTAACAGTGCTGTTCTGATGCTCATCAGAAAATGGCAGTTGAAAAGTGAGCCAACGTCAAATTTTGTTTGAAGTTAGGCAAAACAGCCGGAGAAGCATACAAAATGATGAAAAGTGTGTACGGTAGTGATTGTTTGAGACGCTCGAACATTTTTCGATGGTATGCTGTATTTTATGATGGCAGGGAGGACATTGAAGACGCTCCACATGCATCAAAGCCAAGAACAAGTAGCACTGAAGAAAATGTGAAAAAAGTGACCGAAATCCTTGCATCAGACAGATGTGTTTCTGCAAGACTCATTGAGGAGCTTTTGAGAATACCAAAAAGTACTGTGCATCAAATTTTGACTGAGGATTTTGGCAAATGGAAGGTCTGTGCGTGCTTTGTACCACGCGCTGACAGGCGATGAAAAACATTCCAGAGTGGAACACTGCAAAGACATATTACGGTTGGCCCAAAGTGATACAAAATTTACAGAATCGATTATTACTGGTGATGAGACATGGTGTTTTCAATATGAGCCTCTCACAGAGTGGCGGAGTGCAGCGTGGTTGAGCCCAAAGAAGCCGAAACCAAAGAAAGTGTGCATGCAAAAGAGACGAGTAAAGACACTGCTAACCGTTTTCTTCAGTTTCAAAGGAATCATTCACAAGGAATTTCTGCCAGAAGGTTAGACGGTGAATTCTGATTATTATCCCAGAGTCCTCATCTTTGGGGCGAGAATTCTTCAAATTCAACCTGAATATCAAGAGCAAGGTTCCCGGTCGCTCCTCCACTGCAATGCCTCACCCTACAAATCGAAGATCATGCGCGATTTTTTGGCCAGAAAAGGCATCACAGTCCTTGATCATCCTCCATATTCGCCTGGTTTGGCTCCAACAGATTTCTGGTTCCCAAAAGTTAAGTTGGCGATGAAAGGAGACTGTCACGACACCATCCAGGACATCCAAAGGGAATGTACCGCAGTTTTAAATGTGATTTCACAAAAGGAGTACAGTGACTGTTTTCGAAAACTTTTGAATCAATTCCAGCTATGTATTGATCCAGAAGCAGACTGTTTTGAATAAAAAGAGTGAAATTTTGAAAATAATTCACGTCCTGCACTTTTAATGAACACATTCCTAACAGGACCTGGACACACTGTATAGATGCTTGTTTTTTCTCTTGCAGGCTTCCCATGGGTTTATTACACAACATAAATGGGCACATGATGTGAAAGCCTTCATAAATTTGGAGGCATGTGGTGCTGGGGGCAGGGAGGTATTATTCCAGGCTGGCCCCAATCACCCATGGCTTGTACAGGTTGGATCCTCTTGACTTAGAGTCATATATCAGTGTACTGTTCAGTTGTTTTAAGACCTGATAATATTGGAGAATATGGATGGCTGTGTCAGAACTGCCACTCATATATAATATACTCATGCACACATGCATGCGCAAATCAACATACACCCACACACCAAGGAAGTTGGCTCAAGCAATAAGACCAGGTTCATATTTGGGAGGTGCCCAGTTCAGATCTCAGTTGGGCACTGACTATCCTAATTGAGTTTTTTTGTGGGCCACAGTCTGTTCCTTCTACAGATACTCCTTGTTACATGCATGTTCATAAAATAGGATTTCATTTTAACATGATCAACTCATTTAGATCAGTTTCAATTAGTAGCACTCACTGTATTGCTTATTACTTGCTGACCAGTCAGCAGAGGCGGGGAGAAGTGTGAGTAAATTATTGTGTGGGTTCGTGCAGTAGGAGTGTGAGTGGAGAAAGGAAAATTATGTTTGATTTATGTGATTTCACCCTCTGTGACCCATTTTTGGAACACAGGTATCACATAAATCATGGAATATATGTACATCCTTTCCAATTCTTTGTTGCCCTACCTTTCTGTGCTGTAGAATCTAGATATTGAGAGCATTATTAAATGAATCACAGGGCTACACACTTCATCTCCCCCCCACCTGTGTAACAGATATTATAAGAAGGAATTATTGACTATTGAAAGTAGGAAGGCAGTTTGCTTTTTCTGTGTCTCTTACAGTAGAAACTGGAATGCAGTAGACTGCTTTGTATGACATTCTGGATTTGAAAGCATTTAGTATTTTAAGTAGGAACAAAGGAATGGCTGTGTCATAGCCCCGGCAGTCACCAGCTTCCCACTATGGCAGTCCAGGTTTGATTCCAGGCCAGGACATGTAGGAATTTTGGCGGCCAAAATGGCACTAGTGCAGGCCTTGTTTGAGTAGTTAGGTTTGCCCTGCCAGTTCTCATTCCACAAGCTCCAGGAGCTGCTCCATATTCATTAATCATCTTGTCATTGACATTGAAAGCCTTGATGCTGACAGCACCATTGAATGACTAGCTAAAAAAAAAGTAAAGGCAAAAGTTGAGTTACTTCTTAAGAATTGTGGTGGCTGTGGTCTGTTCAGCATTAAGAAAACACAGTTTGTCTTTTCAACTGTTATGTCCATTGTCACCACCCATTTCAATTTAAATGTTTCTGTTTGCCTCATTGCACTATGGTATAATTTCATTTCTGCTGTAAGATAGGCAGTGAAAAATATTCATTGTTTACTTATTCAGGTAAAAGCGGCCTCATGACTCAAGGTAGGCGGGTTCAAACCCAGCGGAGGCCGTGGAATTTTTAAGGGCGGAAAAATTCAGGGAACAAGTCCTCCGGGAGGGACTTTAAGCCATGGGTCCCGTGTTGTAGATTTACGGCACGTAAAAGATCCTCATGTCTCTAGGAGACCTCTGAGCAAAATTAGGCAAGTTTCCCGCCCAAGTAGTTTCCAGTGCCTCTGGTAGATGGGGGAAGCATCAAGGTACCGAGGGCCGACCTCATTGGCTCAGCGGGGCTGATAGCACACACCAGTACTGGCCGCATATGGGGACTGGTAGAATATCAAAGGGGGACGTACAATAGATCAACATCTGGTCACGGTGCATGGGGAAACCCACCCCCTCCAACAATAATAATAATAATAATATTCAGGTAAAAATTTTGATTTGCTTCAGTAATCGTCTGATAATTTCCTTATCCAGAATGGTCTAAAACAAGGAGATGCTTATTCATCAATGTGGTTTCGATGTAACAGATCAACTACAGATCAGATCTCGTGCATTCATCAGATACTGAAGAAAAATGGGANGAATTGGATATATCTGGCTTAGGATAGGGGTAAGTGGAGGGCTCTTGTGAACACAGTCATGAACCTTCGGGTTCCATGAAATGCAGGGAATTTCTTAATTACTTTTTTATTGCTAGTGGGGTGGGACTAAGTCCCTTGTNCGTGCATTCATCAGATACTGAAGAAAAATGGGAGCACAGTGAGAGAGTACATCAGCTATTCATAGACTCCAAGAAAGTCTATGATTCAGTTAGGAGGGAATTATTATACAACATTCTGAGAAAGTTTGGGGTACCAATGAAATTAGTTAGGCTGATTAAAATGTTAAATGATATGAACTCCATCCCAAGTGCAAACAATATATTATATGTCCTTGAGCTTGCTCTCCTTTACACTACATGTTTCGGCCTCAAACGGCCATCATCAGGTGTATACACTCACGTTGCTGTTACACTGCACTTAGTTTAAAATTTAACATTTAAAATTTTAAATGGCCATCATCAGGTGTATACACTCACGTTNACGGTGGGAAGCCAGTGACTAACGGCTTGAGCTATGGTGTGGCCATGTTCTTGAGTAGCTGCACAATTGTTAGGCTCTCAAGAAGGGCTCAGCTTGGTGAGTGAGTAATCTCTTACTGACTGAATACTGAATACTGAATACTTTTATGAAGCATGGACATGGATACCACAAAGAGGGATGGGGTGTGAAGTGGTGGACTGTAATCAGTTGATTCATTAGGATCCAACATTGGGCTTTTGTGAACATGGTGATGAACCTCCAGGTTCCTAGTGATAGTTAGCTTTTTCTGTAAGATGTGCCACTGGGTTAGTTAGTTAAGTGATTGGAAGGCTATAGGCACTGAAAGAAATTAAGCTTTCTATTGCAACTAAAATACAGCTTAATCTGAAAATTAGAAAAAGTGATTTCCTGAGTTTGAACATTGATAAAGCACAGTACATAAGTGTACCTTTCTTCAAAATTTGTGTTGGTATTTAAAACCTTGACTTTATGAAATTTCCAAAGTCCAAAAATCCAGTAATGTGAGTAATTCAGTTGTTACTGTACATTAGTTTATCATTTAATAATGTCTGAGAATTGCTGGTGTACAAATTTTCATAGTTATTGCTTTAAGAGCATTTGGTGTGCAGTACGAGTATATCTTAAGTACTTTTCCTTTATATCATGTTTAAAGATGTATGGAGATTCGGTACCATATCCACATGGTGTTGTTGTGGCTGAAGACCTTTTCCAGAGTGGCTTAATCCCATCAGATACAGATTTCAGAATATTCAGAGACTTTGGGAAGGTTCCAGGTGAGAAGAAATGTGATTTAACAATTAAGTACTTAATTTAACATGTACACATGTAACTGTTGTAATAGTAAATACTTCTCAGCTCACTGGCAGAATAGGCCCACACACTTTCTTCAGCTGTTGACTTGAGATACGCCATTCAGTAAAATGACTGGTGATAATCTGGGTGACCCTGGTTCAGTTTCCAGTAGTGGCAGAATTCTTCTCTAATCAGCACATCAGGTCTGTCTCGGGAGTCTGCTCATCCTCCTGTCCATTGTGTAATGAGGGCCAGAGTGTGAAGCTGACAGGTCATCTTTATCTGGTGCTGGAATTAAGAGTGCATGCAGCTTTACCTCAACTCCAGTGCCTCTTTATGACATGGTATTTAGAACAGTCAACTTCGCCTGATCAGATACTTTTCCTGTTGGCTGAATTATGTAATTCTCTTGTTCCAGGCTTAGATTTTGCTCATGCTATGAATGGCTATGTGTATCACACAAGTTATGATAATCTTCATGCAATTCCTACTGGAACAATACAGCATACTGGAGATAACTTGTTGGCACTTACTAAGCATATAGCTTCATCAGATGTTTTAAGCAACTCGCAGAAGCACGCAGCAGGAAGAATCGTATATTTTGATGTCTTGGGACTCTTCATGGTCAGATACTCAGAGATTGCTGGCATTATTTTAAATGTGTTTATTGTTGCATTGTCCATATTCACAATTTCAAAGAACGTCTTGGCTATCAAATCAGGTAATGCAGTTGCTTCAGTATGCAATGATGTAAGCAGTTGTAATCTTTTTCTTATGACATGTTTTATGTACATATGTTAAAGTATATGAGTAATGAGAAACTGCTTAATTTATACACCATTAGTGGCAGAGAATATTTTTTCAGAAGTGTTAGCCAAATCATGAGGCAGAGGGAGGTCTACAGTTTGAGATCATGCAAGCAACTGAAACGTGTTAAAATTCCTCATTAATCTAGTGTGAAGGCTTATAATGTTATGTGCCCTCTCCTCTTGTCAGTCCTATGCCACACTATGTGTACCTTCATGCACAGTCACTTTAACTGAATATTTTTCCATGGTTTGGTGGGATCTGTGTTTTGCATCCAATGTCAGCAAATAAACAAAACCATTTATGTTTAAATACTTTTTTATGTAATTGGTGCTTCATTAATAATGAAATTAACAACATGTAGTTTGATCTATTCCCTGCTTTAAATATTATTTATGGTAACTAAAGCAGCAGCTGCAACGATCATCCTCTTGTGCCACATGAAAAATTTTTCAGAGTGTGTAGACCAGGTGTGTGCATACTGAGGATTGAGTGTAACATAGATGGTTTCCAGTTTGAGTAAAGAATGAGAGTAAAAAGACTTAAGCTTTTTGTATCCTCAAAAACTGGGAGAGGGGCGAAAAACATTAAAATTTAACTTTTGCACTTCGTACTTCAGGAAAGCAAATCTAGTTGTTAAAATGTGAACTTAATTATGGCATGATTGATATGTAAGTATAATCCTGATTTAAGGTTTCTTGCAAGCCTAAATGCTTCCCCTTTGTTACAAACAGATTTAACTTTCTCAGAACTTAGTCACAATTAATAACATGACCCTTCCAACAGTGTGATCAAAATTGTAATAATTCTTAGAGTAGTTTTATTTACATTATTGCATAATATGTTTAGATTACACCGAGTTTTGAATATCATGATGTGAACAAAAGATCAGCCAGAATTGAATTCTAATTTGACAAAGAGGAGTGTCCCTTCAGGCAGTCACTTGGTTTGCCCATGCAGTCTGGGCATTTTTCTCTAAATTTTAAAATTTTAAAATTAGAACTAAAGATTTTATAGTGCAACTGCAGGAAAGTCAAAATTAACGTGTGTAAAATAATCTACAAACCAGACAGATATCAACGAAGTAGATGTTGATAATAACAAGGAAAGTGTTTTTAAATGTTAAATTTTGGGCTGGGTACAGTGTGACAACAACGTGAGTGTTATACACCTGATGATGGCCGTCTGAGGCTGAAACATTTAGTGTAAAGGAGCAAGATCAAGGACACATAATATATTGTTTGCACTTGGGACGGAGTTTATATCATTTATCGTATAGAGTGCAACAGGATGCTTAAATATAATAGTGTATTTGTTCATTATTTGTTAGATTAAAGCAAATATATGTTGTGTTCAGTATGTGCTTGGTTTGAATCTCAGGTGGGACATTGGCTATTGTAACTGAGGTTTCTCATGCTTTCTGCAGTTTTTCCAGGTAGGTGCTGGAATAGTACTCCAATTGAACTGTGACCACTTTTTATGTATTATTTACAATTTGCACTCAGGTGTCATTTTCTGCTGAAATTTTATATGACCATCATTTAAGATTTCTTTTTTAATTTAAGGTACAGAAATCTTGTTCCCAAGGTAAGTAAAAGGTAAAGTTGTCCCTGTGATTCATTAAATAGAACTACACCATAAAGCCATACTGGGGGATGGAGGTGTAGCTCCACCATTCTTGATGTTGGCACTAGATGGAAATGAGTGGTCAGCTTCATGCCCCAGCTGCTTTACCTCCAGGGAGAGAACCTCTGGTACCCATTTAATAGGAGGTTGGGCATGGCCCAGAGCTGTGGAGTAGAGGAAACTCTCTTACCCATGCTGGCAATTGAACTCCAGCCATTCCCAAGGCAAACCTTAAATTAGGATTTCACTGTAATAGCTGTTTCTGCTACAGATGTTTGTTGCATTGAATAGCATGGGAAAATAGTTGTGAATGGTGACTAGAAATGTATTTCAAAGGATGTGTTCAGTCTTATTTCAGGGACTCTCCCCTCATTTACTGGGAGAAAGAGGAAAGTCATGAAAACCTTAGGATGTCTGATAACCTAGCTGGTGGACTCTTGAATGAAAGTCTGGAGCATTACTGCTGCACAGACCTCAGTCTAATTTGAATTTAGTGATAGGAGTGGATGTAGCTTTGTCAGTAAAATGACTGGCTTCAGGCTGGATGTCCAGTGTTTGATTTTTGGCAAGGGCAAGGAATTTCCTTGTTCCTGTGATCTCAGAACTAGCTCAGGGAACCACCCAGCTCCCAGTTACCAGCTTTTTTTCTCAAGAAGTGAAGAGACCAGAGTGGGGAGCTGATCATGCACCTCCATCTAATGCAGAAGTTAACAGTGCATATGCACTCTACCATCTCATTCCCTTAATTGGTGATAAGCTGTCTGTTGGTGATGAAAGTTTTTATGTCTTGAAGGGCCCTTACTTGAGGCAGTACTTTTTGTTTGGTACCATATTTTTGCCTTATAGTTCCAGGACTGGACCATGCTGGATACTTGAAGTTATTGCTACTGGGCTGTGGAATCCCGGCACTGGGATGGTTCCTGGCATTTATAAGTGTATTGCTAGTAGCAGTGATCCTTGATCTGTTCAGTAGTTCAATGAGCTGGTTCACAAGACCATTTCTGGTATTCAGCCTCTACTACTGTCCTGTGCTTGTTTGCTGTATGTTGTTTCCAGTGCTGCTTCAAAATTGCATGAATGAAGAGGCAAGTCTGTCATTTCATTAAGCCTTTCTGTGTTACTATAAAGTTATACAGGGTGATTCAGAAAGATGGACACAATTTCAATTGGCTATGTTTCCTGAATTATATGTTGCACTTGAATTCTGTAAATTACATTTGATTATACATACATGGAAGTTCATAGATGTTCACTGTGCCCCTCTCCGGCTGCACGGATAACATCTAGACGGTAGCTGAATTCATCCCACACTCGATGACAAATATCTTGCGTCACTGAGTTCACCGCAGCTATGATATGGTTTCTTAGGTCATTCAAATTTGTGGGAAGAGGTGGTACGTAAACTGCATCTTTCACGGATCCCCACAGGAAAAAGTTGCAGGGTGTGAGATCAGGAGACCTCGGTGGCCAGAACTGAAGTGCCAGGTCTTCATTCCCCATGCGACCTATCCATTGTTGAGGTAGAGATTTATTCAGGAAATGTCGAACATTCAGGGTGGAGCTCCGTCCTGCTGGAAAATGTAATCTCCTGAATCTTCATTCATTTGAGGAACAAGCCAGTTTTGCAGCATTCTAAGATACGTTACTCCAGTAACCATGTTTTCATCGAAAAAGAAAGGCCCATAAACCTTTGTTAACAATATTGCACAGAACACATTAACTTTTGGGCTGTCCCTCACATGTTCGAGTGTTACACAGGGATTTTGTAGTCCCCATATGCGAACATTGTGCCTGTTGACTTTCCCACTTAGGTGAAACGTAGCTTCATCGCTAAAAATTACACGAGGCAGAAACAATTTATCTTCCATGTTTTTGAGCATACGGTCACAAAATTCTACACGCTTTGCCTTATCATTTGTGCGAAGAGCCTGTACCAGTTATGGGTGATATGGTTTGTACACTAACTGGCGCCTCAGTACACACCAGACAGTTGTTTGCTAGAGTCCAAGTTCTCTACTAGCACTGCGGGTTGACTTCATTGGGCTACGCTCAAAGCTCACTCGAATATGCTACACGTTGTCCTCCAATACACGCGATCAGCACGGGCTTTTACTCTTACACAGTGAGCCAGTTTCATCAAATTGTTTATTCCAGTGATAAATGCTCTTCCTCATTGGAGGTTGGGTGGTAAACTTGTGACAAAATGCACACTGCACCGCAGTTGCAGACTCACTTTTACTGAACTCACGAATGCAAAAAATCATGTGTTGCATAGTAGCCATCTCGCTTACAACTGACGCGGTGCTGGAGTGCTCTAGCGGTAGTATTAGAAACTTTACAACATCCTCTTTCAAATGTACTTTACAGAATTCAAATGCAACATATGGTTCAGGAAATATAGCCAATTGAAATTGTGTCCATCTTTCTGAATCATGCTGTACTACTCTGACACCTACTTCTACCCTGAGTGTCTTTGTATCAAATAAAGTGACAAATTATTGTTTGTTGCATAGAAAGAAACAGAGCTCTAAGACTGTGATGATATGAGTTTACTTCCACTTGAACTTGTTATGTGTTGCAAAGCTAAGAACTTTGTTCTGTCAGTTCTAGAGTTAATTATCGGTATACATTTCTATTATTATTACCACAGTCTTTAATTCTGTGTACTTCCTCTGTTGAGATATCCTCTCATTAACAATGTATTTTACTGCTGAACTCTGATAGCACATGCTTCAACAGTTCAGTTTGACAACGTAATGCACTTGCAAGAAGTTTAGAGTAGCAAAACGTGATTGATGCTGATTAATCTAGCTCTTACAATGTGAAATTCAGTACCACAACACAGCAAACTGATTTCTAGTATAATGCAAAGTGTTTGACAGTAAAGTCTCTACATTCATAATTTTAAAATCAAAATTGTAAGTTATGAATGCCATACTTTTTTTGCATTTATGTGGATCACATCTTATTTACAATTTCTAAGGATATTACATATGTGTAGCTGAAACAGTTATTGTTTTTAAACTGTTGTGTGTGATATAGTCCCATTTCAAATCCTGATTAGGAACTGGCTGTCCTGATTAAGGGTTTTCATGGTTTTATTCAGAATAGCAACCTCCAATAAGTAAAGATGGTTTCCTCCCATATGGGATACTTACTCATGGTGGTGAGCCCTTCTTCATGAGCTGCGAATTCTGCAGCTACTCAATAATTTCCCAGCATTTGATGGAACCCAGAGTTTCATTATCATGTTCATAAGAGCCCTCCACTTATCCATATCCTAAGCCAGATATATCGCATCCTATAATATTGTCCACCCACCTACACCTTGGTCTTCCCAGTGGTCTCTTTCCTTCTGGCTTTCCCACCAATATCCTATATGCATTCCTCTTCTACCCATTCATGCTACATGCCCTGCCATCTCATTCTACTTGGCTTGAGCATTCTGATTATACTTGGAGAAGAGTACAAGTTATGAAGATCCTCATTATGCAGTTTTCTCCAACCTCCTGCCACTTCTTCTCTCTTTAGTTCAAATATTTTCTTCAGCACTCGGTTCTCAAACACCCTCAGTCTATTTTCCTCCATTAATGTTAGAGAACAAGTTTCACAGCCACACAGAACCACAGGCAAAACTATAGTTTTGTATATTCTAATTTTTATGTTTTTGGACAGCAGACGAGAAGACAAAATGTTCTGGACTGAATGGTAGCAAGCATTACCCAAGTTCAGTCTCCTCTTAATTTCTTCCTGAATCAGGTTTGATTTGTTATTGTCATTCCAAAATATCTGAACTGTGCCACGTTTTCAAAACATCTGTTACCTATCCTCATGTCATGATTTTGTCCTGCATTTTGGTGATGAGGCAACAAAATAGACTTATGAGAGATTTGAGGCTTTCACGGCGGTGGCCATGAAGAAAGCAGTCTTCTGGGATTTGGCGCCGTGTATATGTGGTGTTAACCGACGTTTCGGAGGAACGTATCGCCTCCATCTTCAGGGTAGAAGAAAAAATATAAGAAATCTGCAAGCGAAGAGACTGTGAGAACCGGTAAAATCAGACTGTGTTGAAAATATACACAGCTATGTGAGAGCAGAGAAGGTAGGGGGGAAGGGCAAGTATACAAGTGAAAGCAGTAGTGTGGAAGGGGTAGGGGAAGGGAGCTGGGACAAGCATGGTTTTGTGTAGGGGAGAGAAAGGCAAGGTTAAAGGCTGGGCACTAACCCGTAAGCTGAGGTGGGGGGTTGTTATGTTGGTCATGGCCTGTGTGGCCTTCTGGATCTGGCGTCATATCCCGGTGGGGGTTTTTTAAGAGAACAGATGAGAGGTTTCCAAGACTTGATGAGACAGAACCCCCCCTCTCTGTTCATATTTCCTGGATGCAGTTCAATCTCAATTGCCTCCCTAATGATGCGATCCATATAGCGGGTCTTGGTGGCGAGGATGGAGGTATTCTGAAGCTGAATGCAGTGTCCCAGATCGATGCTGTGTTCAGCTACGGCCGACTTGTCTGGTTGTTCGAGACGTATGTGCTGCTGATGCTCCTTCAACCTCATGTCCACGGAGCGGCCTGTCTGCCCAATATAGACCTTCCCGCACTCGCATGGGATACTGTATACACCCGGTGTCCGGCCGGTTAAAGACAATACAAATTATCCAATTTCCTCCGGCCGGTTAAAGACAAAACAAATTAACCAATTTCCTCCGGCCGGTTAAAGACAGCCTGGGCCTAAGGACACCGGGTGTATACAGTATC